TTTTTGAGATGGCTGGCAAGTGACATCATTAGCCTTGTATGTGTGGGTGATTTCAGCTCTGGAAGTATAAATCCTATTAGGGATGGGTAGCCATCACCAATTCATTTCCCTCAGCCAGCGAACACGCATCACAGAAGGGATAGTTGGCACTAACAGGAAGAAAACATCACTTCTTCAGGGCTCCTTTGCTCACAAAACATTGTCCCTTTGCTTCAAATATTACCCTGGGGTGACGTGAAGACAGCTAACAGTTTTCCATGTTAATGTGATGAAACTGAAGGCTTACGGGCTCACCCAGAGATTGCAAATGTTCAAGAGCATCAGACCACGAATCTAGAGGTAGAATAACATCCTCAGCACATAGAGGCATCTGCAATACCATAGCTCCTCAGTCTTGTRACGGTGTTTGCCACGTTGAGTACTCCCAACTAGAGAGCTAGGCTTCTGCAGCCTCTCTGAGGTGTCTGCCCCTCTGCAACAAGGTGAAAGGGAATGTGGGATTTTAGCTTCAGCTCTGAATCTTTGTGTGAGGAAAGACAAGATTTGGCTCTTCTTTTCTGAGCTAACCCCAGAGCAGAATGATGCAGAAGGCTGTTGTTCCAGCATGTTCTAATACACTGCCAGATGCAACAGCATGCTGGTATCTCCTTCACACCAGTGTGACTGCATCTGGAGCTCCTCTCAAGCAGGACCTCGTTTCCAAAGCCATGTGGTTCTGGGTTTGTGGGTCCAGACACACAAGTTGGGATTTTTAACATATTTTTACTAATGGTATTATGTGCTTTGATGGCACCAGAGTGARGCTGTGGTCTTAGATGTAGTATTCAAGCACCTCATGATTTCTATTTTACTCAGTCATCATCCTCTCTCCTAAAGGTAAAACCCCCAAACCCTTGGCACTGTTTTACATAAAAGAAACAGAGGACTAGAAAAGTAACGTGATTTGCTGGAGGCCAGACATGTTGTGATAGGGTAGAAAATTGACTGTGGATCTTGAATTAGAACCCTAACCATTGCCATCCGTGGCATGTTTGCTCTCTGCTTAGCATACTTCAGTTTGAGGCACKCTGGACAAGCTCCCTTGGGATAAGGAGTCATTTTTAGACCGATTCCTTACAGAAATGAAGCTCTCACAATCATGTTGTCTGTCTGCCTATCAGCCTCCAACAATATGGTGTGAATCCACTGGCCAATTTCAACCCAACACAGCAGCAAGGAAGGGATTTTACAGCAAAACAATTCAGATGAGCTCTGTGATGAGTAGAAAGAGGGGAGGGAAGAGAGGAAGGAAGAGAATGCCCATGTGTGCCTGTGGGCTGCATGACATCCATAAACAATTCTGGCATGGCACACGATGCTTGCAGCTCCTCTCTAGGGCAGGAGAAAAGGATGGAGCTCAGGCTGATGTGTGGGGTGGTGAGGCCAGGAAGCAGCTGAGCACGCTGGGGATGTCCTGGGCGTGCAGCAACCCCGGGCATGAATGCAGCAGAGAGGTTCATCCCGCCGCTGGCAGAGCAACTTCTGCTCTCCACACTCCCTAACCCCCGCCGGCTGCTTCTCCAGGGAAAACAGCCGATTAACATATTGCAATGAGTTAACCTTAAATGGTCTAAAAATCCAAATGTTAGCATGCAAATGAATTCTGATGGAAACAGCAAGATAAAACACCAGCCAGCCGCAGCTGAGCCTGTTTACTGAGACACTTTCGTGTTTGCAGCTGAAGCCAAGGTGGTGCTTTCAGTCCTATGATCATTTGCACCTCCTCACTCCATGCTTCTGTCTTGYCAGGTGTAAGGCTTTGAAGCAAAATATTGTTCTAGATAGGGCTTTTCTTATGATTTGGGGGCCGTGATCTGTGACATGCCCTGTTTTCTTCCTCTTGGGCAGTGCCAAAAGTGGGTGTGGGCAAGAGCCTCAAGGCAGGGTGTCAGGCACATGTTGGGCTTGACAAACCCAGCGGAGCTGGTAGCTCCAACCTGCCAGCCAAGGGCAGGAAAGGCCCTTCTCCATTACTTCTGGGTAAACCTGGTTTGTACGCAAGGGCTGTGTCCAGCTGCCATTTTCTTCACCTTGTGCCTAATGCTGATAAGCGATTCTTGGTTTCTCTGCAAGCAAGTCACTGACATTTGGTTAACTCCTTCGCACTGAGTTACAGAGCAGAGTTAATGGTGGCAGAGCCAAACTTTCACTGTCGTCCTTTCTCCAGAAGATCACCAAAAGGTCACGTCTTTCCCCCCACTTTGGAATTAGAGTCCTTTTAATGCCCTTTAGAGCTCGACTCTGCAAACAAAGTCCTCCTTTGAGCCAACCAGTCTTGAAATCCGATGCCCTTGTTCACTTTGCACTGCTGGTGGCAGGGAGAGAAAAAACAAAGTGACATTTCTATCAGTCGCAAGGCAAACCGCATAAGACAGTGATATTTATCTCCTCCTTGAGTGCTCTGAGGCCTTGTATCTGAAGAAAATTACAGTCACTGGCAATCACCATTTATAGCAATCAGGCTGTAGTTGAGCAAGTGGGAAGATGAACAAGTGCTGGTACAAATACTCGGGGACTAACCCTAATAGCAGGATCCGCCCTGAAAAGATGCCTTGTGTGCAACAGAAACAAACAAATGCCTTTAAACTTGCACAGTGTTAAGTAACATAAAACTTTGCCGGATAAGGACTATTTGCTCTCATTTAGGGGTTTTGGACAGCCCTGTTCCTTGGATTATTTGCTAAAATACAAATAACATTTGACTGTTTCTCAGTTTGCAATGTTAAAGGCAAAGAGATTGAGTTTCATCCTCATCTCCTCTTACAGAATGATTCTGGGCAGCATGAAAATCCAGTCTTTCTGCAGCTGGGAGGGCAAAGGAGGGCAGTGGACATGGCAACGAAGGGTGTCTGCTGCCACTGGCATCCTGACAGGCCCGGTTCACACCACGTGTACCTGCTAATGCCTCTCCAGCCTGCAAACTCCTTAGCATGGAGCTGCATTTTGTGGTAGAGTTTTGGACCACTTGATGTATCAGAGCTCCCACCACTGTGTCTAAGAACAACAGAAATACAAGAAATACCAAGTCAGAAGTGGCTTCTTGGAAAGATGAAGCAAAAATTTGGTTTGGCAGCAGTTAAGTATGTTTCGACATAAGTTTGATAAAAAGCTCCACCGTGCAATTAGTGAAAAACAAGTGGCTTCAGAGGCATCTCTGCAGCAAGGCAGCAGAGGTTTTAACAGCAATCGCAGTCTCA